AGCAGCGCGGCGCTCCGGGGAGGTGTGAAGGGCCGGGCCGGGTGCCCTGTCTGCGCCGGCGGGATGCGCGGGCCCGGAGCGGGTGGTTTGGGCCCACTCCCCCCGGAGCACGCCAGGGCCTTGGCATTGCCCAAGGGATGCCGAGGCACCGCGGAGCCGCAGCATCCCCGACTGAAACCGAGGCCTTAACAGCTCCTCATCCAGCTCGCCTTGCTCTCGGGACGGTTTAGCCGTGCTGCCGTTTGCAGCCCCGTTCAGGCTGCCCCGTGGCTGCAGCCAGGTGCGGTGCAAAAGGTCAAAACCGACCACGTTTGAGCAGTTCCAGCTCACGCGCTGTGCCGCCGAGCCAGCCGCAGCGCGGCGAGAAGGGACGGGGCACTGCAGAGCGTCGCCTTCGGCTCGCAGGTGGGGGTGCTCTCAGAAGGGATCAGAATAGCTCCTAGCGTAGGTTTTTCTCAGAAAATTGGCTAGTTGATTGTAGAGCAGGGCTGAAAAGCAGGAAGTTAGCAAGTGGGAGGCAAGGGGAGGTGAAAGAAAGTTTGCACTTGCCTCCGAGGTCCGGGGCTTTTGTGCATTAAAATTCAGTTGCAGTGACTTCAGTCCCCTTTCCAGCTCTGTGCTGCTTCACACGGGCAGCCAGGAACCTCTTTCCCCAAGAAAGCTCTGTGTCAGGATGCTCGTCTCTCAATGAGGCTCCTTGATCCCAGTCCCTGGGCTTAGCTGCAGGTGTCTGGAGCCTTTCCCAAGAAAGGCATCTGCCCTTCATGGCTTCTTTGCTCCGGTTCCACCTTCCTCCTCCTCGCCCTTCCTCCCCCTCACGCTCTGTGCTGCTCCCTCAGTTCTGTCTTTCCGGTTGCTGCAAACAAAGTCCCTATTCACTCGGTGGCTGTGATTTGGCTGCGAGGGGAAAGAGCGAGTGCAAAGGAGAAGGAAGGAGGGAGGTGGAGATCCAAGCTCTCCTGCCCACGGCCAGCTTCCCAGACAGACTTAAAAGGGACTGTGTGGAGCCATCTGGGTTTCCGTTCCCCCTTAGCACCCCAAAATTTGGAGTGTGAACGTTATTTATGAGAATCCCGGTGGCCTTTGGTGGCGCGGTGCCATGCGGTGCGGGAGCCGTGCGGTGCTGGTCACCTCGGGGCCGGGGCGGGCGCGAGCGAGGAGCAGCACCGAGCGCGGGACTCTAGTGCACAGAGGAGCTGCTGGTGTCTCAGGGGAAGGGCTTGTCCCTCTGGTTGTCCCTCCTGGAACAGCGTCTGCTGCCCAGGCTGATTGCTGCCCAGCTTGATGGGGGCTGCACCGACCGTCCTGACGGCTGGTGCGCCGAGGCTCCCTGCCTGCTTTTGCTGAGAGAAAGGCCCTGAGGGGAGCACAGCCTTTATCAGACATCACAGAATCCACACGGGCCTCACTGCCCCTGCAAACACCGCTACCTTAAGCTTCTCCGGGTTTTCCCTGCTCCCTGTCTCGGGTAGAACCAAAGCTGCTGCCCAAGGCTTGGGGTGCCTTCCAGCTCCTTCCTAGTCCCATGCAGAGTGGGGAGTGCCTGCAGGAATGGTGCTGCGGGATACACGGTGCTGAGACGGGGCGTGCGGAGCACCAGGAGCTCCCGCAGACTGGGCTGCAGCCAGTGGGGCTCCCGGCTTTCCTGCAGCCGAGCCGTGAGTGGCTCCCATGGCTCCAAGGGCACGTGCGGCCCCGGGCACCAGTCGGAGGCAGGGACAGGGCAGCGCAGGGAGGCAATGCGCAGGGCCCACGTGCTGAGCGCCGGCCACGGGCTTAGTGCGTCCCTCAGGAGCGGGTGTGCTGAGCCTCACACCCACCAAGCCCGCGAGGGGTCTTGCCACTCGTTTCTGCGGCTGTGCCCCTCACACGAGGTCCTGGTGGGTCCCAGCCCCATTCCCTGCGCCCGTGTCCCCGTGCACAACCAGGAATTGCGGTGCGGGAGAGCAGGGGCTGGTGCAAGTGGCAGGAGGGAGGGCTGTGGTGCTGCAGTCACATAGTGGCGCTCACGATGAGGAGCCCGGGTGCCCCGCACCTTCGAAGCTGTTAAACCCCTTACTGTCATCTCGCTGTCTGGTGGCTTCAGCGTTTGGTCTCACGGGTGTTCTGATCCATAATGCCAGCCCTGGCCCCCACCAGACATCCCCACCTCGCGCAGACGTGAGGCTGGAGTTTCTGCAGCCCGGGTTGATAGGAAATTTAACATCGAGCCCCCTCCAGGGCTCTTCCCCTTCCAGGGTCCCAGCGCCGGTGCTGTCACCTTCCCGGTGGCTCGGAGTGCGGCGCTGGCTCTTCCCTCGCACACGGTGGTGTCCAGGCCGCACGGAGCTTCCTTCCCGGCGGCCGCTTCCTCCCGGCCAGCGCCGCGCAGATAATTATGGCAAGTGACTCTCTGGGCGAGCACAGCCCATCCTTCCTGCGCTGTGAGCCGGCGTCCCGCGGGGCCCGCGTCCCTGCGGGGCGCTCAGCGGAGCCGCAAACCAGCGGGGCCCTGAGAAGACACCCAGGGATTCACCCTGCTCAGGCCCTGAGCAAAGGACAAGCCCAGTTAACCTGCACCTTCGGCAGGCCCTGCTTAGGGTGGCCCATCACGAGAGGGCCTGTCCAACCTCCTCCTAGGTTGCAGTTTGTCCTTTTCTGTCTTTTTCTTGTGCCCTGAGGGAAAGGGGAGATCACATTTAATTGCAACAGAACAAGCTGGTGTCCAGCAAGCAGCAAGGGTCTCACTGGGGCCTGTTGGAGCAATATGGATTGGCCACTTCATGGAATCATAGAATCCTTGAGGTTGGAAGGGATCTCCTGCACACGCAGGGTCACCTAGAGCACGTGGCACAGGCTGCATCCAGAGGGTTTGGAAGATCTCCAGAGAAGGAGACTCCACAGCCTCTCTGGGCAGCCTGTGCCAGGGCTCTGTCACTCACCATCGAGCAATTTTTCCTCAAGTTCCTATGGAACTTCTGGTGCTCCAGTTTGTGCCCGTTTCCTCCAGTCCTATCAGTGGCCACCACTGAAAAGAGGCCACCCCTCCTCCTCCCTGCCTCCCTTGAGGTGTTTACGGACACTGCTCAGGTCCCCTCTCGACCTTGTGCACGGCAGGTGCCGCCGCCGCCGCCTTTTCCCTGTGTTGGGCACGACCTTCCTCGCCAAACCCAGCGCTGGAGGGGCTCTGGCTGCCCTCCCGTGCTCGCGCCTGCCCTGTTTGACTCCCATCCTTCATGCGGAGCATTCCCAAACCCAACGCGCCTCCTCGGGGCTCAGGGATCAGGCCTCCAAGATCCCTGACTTGCTGGGAGTCTGAGGAGGGCTCGAGTGAGGCGAATGTGCGTGGAGAGAGCTGCAGTTATCCCAGATTCAGGGTCACGCATGAAATACGGGAAATTACCCTGAGAAATTGGGATCCTGCAGGAGGAGTTCATGACTTCAGAAATGCCACATTTGGGAGGAGATGGAAGGGAAAGGGATATATTTTCCTTTTCAAAATACCCAAGGAATTCAGTCTGCGCTGTAGAGGCAGTGAGGTTCTCTCCTCGGTGCCAGAGGGGTAGCTTACACCCATGTGTCTTGTTAAGGCTTCTCTCGCTGAGGGTGAAGCCCTCCCGCCCCGCTGCAGTCTCAGATACGTAGGGGTTTTAAATCACCCGAAAATCAAGAGTGACTCAAATGTGAAATTACAAAGGAAAAAATAGACTGTGTGTCCTCCATTCTCTGAGATTTGTAAGCCTTTGGGTTGCATTTCAGCCACTTTTCCCAGCTGTGAAGTGCTATTCAATTAATTTCATATATATATATATGAAGTTATGTATATATTTATAATTTCATGTTATAATTTCATATAATACCAGGAGCTGGAGACTTAACAAACATGTGTAACACTGGGAGAATGTCCCTAAAATTATCCAAGTTGGCAGCTGTGCCATGGCAGCGGCAGGAAGCTGGGAAAACCCCGGGAGGCACCCGCAGGTCCAGGGCTGCTCCGTCGCTCCCGGGGCTCCCTCCTTCCCTCGCACTGGGGCTGCGCTCGCCTCTGGAATGGGCTGGAGCTGGTGAGTTGTGTCCCTGCACGCAGGGAACGTCGCGGTGCTGCCGCTGGCACTGCCACTTGGCTCCTGGCATAAAGGGACGTGAGGGCCGCGTGTCCATCTGGGACCCGCGGGATGCCAGCGGGAAGCGGCCGCTGCTGCTCCGCCGGGTCCTGGGTGCCGGGAGCCCTTCGTGAGCAGCCGGCCAAGGGGCTGCAGCCTCCTGGCTGCTCTCCTGTCCCCCGCTGATCCTGATGGTGCTGGAGACCTTAGGGAAAAGCGGGAGGCAGGAGGAGGTCTCGAATTCCTGCTCCTGCGGCGAGTCGGAGGCGAGAGCCTTTCCCTGCAACACCAATAATCCAGGCAGTGCTTCTGCCTGCTCCAGGAACTCATTTCTGGGCTCCACATCCCGGCACGGCAGGTCCTGGAGGCAGGAAGCCCCGCAGCGCAGGCCGGTTCCTCCCGCCTCGCCCCGCGTTTCGGGACCGGGCACCTCGTGTCCCAGCCCCATCCGGGACAGGTTTCCCGCCAGCAGGGCTTGCGGATGGCCACGGCCATGCTGGTTTTTTTGTCCATCTCGTGATGGAAAATGTGTGGGCTGCTTTTCCCAGGGGGACATCTTGGCTTTAGAAATACATATATGAAAACTTGGAAGTCGACTTCCAGGGGTTTTGGAAACCTGTCTTCTGCTCAGCGGGACAGAGCAGAGCTGCAAACGTGTTCCCGTTAGGTCCACGGGCAGCCTCTCCTCTCACCTCTTGCAAAAGAGCCACGGAAACATTGCACGGGGCGGCGCCTTTCGGCATTCCCGGCGCTGGCCGCTCACCGGGAATATCCTTCTGGCCCAGTTTGGTGTCCGATGCCGAGGCCCTGGGGCGTGAGGGAGGACCCGGCCGTGCGGGCGCCAGGGGGGCGCTTGGCCGCCGAGCCCGGGCAGGGCAGGGATGGCTCTGACGGCCGCCCCCTCTCTTGTCCCTGCAGAAGATGCTGATGAAGCAGCAGGACCGCCTGGAGGAGCGCGAGCAGGACATCGAGGAGCAGCTCTACAAGCTGGAGTCGGACAAGCGGCTGGTCGAGGTAGCCCCTGCTTTTGGTCGGCCCAGTGCTGTGGGGCCTGGCTGCTGCCGGGGGGACGGGGAGCAGGGACCCCAGTGACACGTGGGCAAGGAGGGCAGCGTGGGGAGCTGCCAGCCAGCCCTGCTCTTACCTGGTGTTTCCAGTTTGGTCCTGGGTGTCCTTCTGTTCGGGACGTTTGGTGCTGCCACCCACCCTTACGGGTGCTGGTGGGAGTAGCGAGGCCAGGGAAAGGTCTGGAGGTGGGAGATCACAGAGCAGGGATGTGGGGGCAGCTGCAGAACCCCCCGGGGTGCCAGGAGCGTGTTGGGCTGGGCCTCAGAGCAAATGAGGTTGCTGTGGCCCTATGTCCGTGCAAGCCTCCCTGCGGAGGATGCTGAGCTGCTCCCGTGCCCCCAGGAGAAGGTGAGCCAGCTGAAGGACGAGGTGCGTCTGCAGTACGAGAAGATGCACCAGATCTTGGATGAGGACTTGCGGAAAACCATGGAGATCCTGGACAAGGCCCAGGCCAAGTTCTGCAACGAGAACGCGGCCCAGGTCCTGCACCTCAACGAGCGCATGCAGGAGGCCAAGAAGCTCCTCAGCTCCGTCCAGGTCATGTTCGACAAAACGGAGGACATCAACTTCATGAAGGTGGGAAGAGCTGTCCCTGCTGGGGACACGGCGGGTTGTGCAGGGGACAGGGGGTCAGGGACGGCCAGGGCACAGCGGGAACAGCCGTCGGCGGGTTGGTGCGGCAGGGATTAGCTGGTTTCTCCGCAGGGCTCGGAGCGGCAGGAAGGTGAGGAGGAGCAGGGCCGCTCGGCGCCGGCCGCCTCGAGCCCTGCAGGGACGGTGCCGGGACGGAGGCCGCGCTGCAGCTGCAGAGGGGCCAGGGCTGCCCGTGCCGGGGGCGGAGGGGCTCTGCGGCTCCTCAGCCTCCTCCTGGAGCTGCTGCCCACGCAGCGGGGCCCCTTCGCTATCCGAGACGGGGAGGGCACCAGGATTTCCCAGAGCCCAGGGGGATTCGCCGTCCTTGACTGCGCAGGGGCTGGACGAGCTCTCCACCTCCCAATGTGCGCCAGGCCCAGTCCCCTCCTCACGTGCCCCAAACAGCTCTGCAGCGGCCAGGGTAGCAGAGCCCCCCTCGCCCGCCCTGAGCTCCTGGGGTGCCCGGGGACCGAGCCAGGAGGGAACCAGGATGTCCACAGGGATGGGATCCTGGATGGGATCCAGGGTGTCCATGGGAAGCCACGGCAGGAGGCGCACAGGGTCAGGCCGGGGCGGGATGGGAGGCGCTGGCGCAGGGCTGCTCCTCACTGACCAGGGCTTCTCCTCCCTCCTAGAACACCAAGTCAGTGAAGATCCTAATGGACAGGTAAGCGCCTCTGCCAGGGGCTTTGAACCGAGCCCTCCCCTTTGCCAGAGGGACATTCATGGTGGGATTCACCCAGCTTTGCTATAACTGACACCCAGGGGCCCGCGGAGAGCAGGGTGCCCGTGCGGGTGGTGGCTGCGGGTGCTGGGTGCAGGGCCAGGGCTGCCGGAGGTGGCGTCTGGGCGAAGCCGCGTGGAGCCACATCCCATCCTGAGCTGCTGGGAG